TTTAAAAGGAAGAAAAAAAAAAAACCAGCCAAGAAGGCCTGACTGAGCCCTTGAAGGTTTCCAAAAGGGTCTTGTGGGCAGAGACCCCCATTCTTCAATCCTATCTAGGCCTCAAAAGAGAAGATGCTTTGGGTGGCCCCGAAATCTGTTTTTCTGTTTATAATTAACAGGCAGGACTTGCTGGGGAGGTTGGGAAATGAATCTTGGCTGTTTTCTTGGAGTTGTGCTGCTGCTTTTCCGGTGACCGGGGGCTTCCACTGCCTCCCACCACATCCCTTCCCCAAACTTTCAATATGGTCAGATCCTGACAGCTTCCTTTGGGTTTTTTTTAAAAATCTTCCTTGGAAATCTGCACATCTGTTTAAGAAGTTCCTGAAAGCAACTTACTTTCTTCTTTCTTTCTTTTTCTTTCGAGACCTGGGATCTCCTTGTCGCCGGATCCTTCATCCAAGTGATCCCATGTGGGGGGGGCAGGATCCCCAGGGAGATAATTCAGGGCAAACGATGGATCCAATGAAGGAAATGGAAGAGCAGAATCTATTCTCTGCTTAAACCATATGTGAGCCATCTTTGGCTGATAGGAAGCCATAAAAACAGCCTTTATCAGCCAGCGTGGGCCATTCCTGTGGCCTTGCCCTGTGTCCTTTCCACATATCCCCAATATCATGTCATAAATTCATTAGCGTTTTTACAGTCCCCCCAGGGGCAAAGTGCCCTGGGGTGAGCTCAGTCCAGTTGCCTTTATCACCAGAAGTGGTATTTGACCAAACCTGAACTTTCCTGAGAACCGAAACTGTCCTCTCTTGGTCCCTCCCAAACATAAACTTGAAAAAACATTTTAGATTCATTCTCCTCTGTGCGAGAGAGAAATAAAACTTCTTTTATAGTGGTTATTTTAGTGTTTCTTCCCACGGAGAAAAAAGTTTTTTCTTCCTTGAGCAAACTGATTCTTCCTGATCTGAGACTGGACGGAAGAATTTGCAATTATCCAGGGTTAAAGTCCTTGCTGAACAAGCAGTCTTTTGTCTGGTTGTTTTCTTTCTATTTTGCTTTTGAAATTGGAGATGGGGGAAAAGGCAGTGCGGGCCCATGAAGTTCTGATAGGGTTATCTATGCACCTTGTCCTTGAATCGCAAAGGCCCCCGCAGTTTCCTTCTTGTGTATTTCCCTTTAGTGGGAAAAATCTGAAAACGGCTGTGAAACTCTTACAAGGAGATGGGATTTTCTCCGCAAAGATGAGGGGGAGGAAAGCCGTTTTAGACCACATTTTTGCCACTGTTCGGGTCTGTTCGGAGGGGACATTAGTCTGAATTGTAAGAAATGAAGTCCCAACACATCTGAATTTAAAGAAAAAAAACATCTCCGTAGAATGAAGCCGGAGGATAAAACTGTTTTGTGTTTATGTGTTTAAAAAACAACAACACGTCATTCCACAATTGCACATTAAATCCCTTTTAATTCACGGAAAGTTGTTTGTGTCAAGACGGAGTCCGCTTTCAACCTCTGTAGAGAAAGCCTGAAAAACTTAAGGAGAATTTAGTTGGGCTACTTAAATACTGGGATGAAAGGCTGGCAATTGCGATATTTTAATAGGCTCCAAATTGACACCTAACCCCGACTGAAAGATCCCTTAAGACAGGAGGTCCTTGGCTCATCTCTGCCCATCCTTTCCATGTCTCCCACCGAGTGGAAGTTGGCCAAATAAGGACAAGAGTGGTGATGTGGGGGGCAGATAGTAATTTACAAAACTCCCGCAAGCATCCTAGGGATCGTAGCAACTACGTGGGCCTGGCAGACGAGCCACACTTCTTCAGGCCGGTTGTCGAGATCGGACTTGTTTTGCAGACTTGATGCAAATAGAAAAAAGATGGCGCCCTTCGTGGTCTTCGTCCCCCCATGGGGTTGAACAGAACGTCGTTCCTTCTGGAATCGGACGGTTAGTTTGAACGAATCAACTTCTCGGCTTTTCCTCGAATTTACAGGAATTAGGAGGACGCCTTTTTCTTAGAAGTTTTCAGGCAACATGGGAAGACAACAACAACGGCCTTTCATTTCGGGGAACCGTCTCAAGGAAGCTTATCAGTCAGACCCAGGAGGCCCCTGCTAGGGAGAGGGGAGAGGGGAGAGGACCCGGCCACATTGCGGGCACCGTGACGCTGCAGGAAACTCGTCAGCGGCTCAAGATGGCAACGGTTTGGTGTGCTCAAAAAGTGTGAACGGGGCACAGTTGCCATCATCGTTCCTTGCCAAGGTTCCCTGCCTCCACTACATCCAGGGCAAAACTTGAGTTTTCACACTTATTCCCCTCACCCCCCTTTCTAGCCCTCTTATTTCCTGTGATTC